TACTTGGAAGACACCAAGACTGTCCTCCAGTTGAGTCCGCCAGCAGCACAGCAGACAAAGCTCTCGTTTTTAAAGGGCTGAGGAGGTTTGACTGCAGGGAGGGGGTGAGCTTACCACCTCACCTAAACCAAGTCCCTCAAAACAGACTCACCGTATTATGTCACCTACCGGCTGAGAACTCTGGGAGACTGGCATCTGCTGATCATGGCTAAACAGACTGCACGTTTGGAACCCAAATGTCTACAGATGTTTTCACTGATTGTCGTTCTGTTCTCTCCATATTTTAGCTTTGATCATTTTGGAACCCACAGCCTGTCTTGTGAAATAAATAATACGAGCAAATTAAAAAGGCACATTGTGCACCAGGGGGACTTGTCAGGCAGTTGCTGTGATGGTCCAGGGCCACTCAGCTCCAGCCTCAGAGTCACCTGCAATGAAAACCACTTCTTGCCATCAGGGATTCAGTGGTATGGATGGGATTTCTTAAAAACCCAAACTGACAAATAGTCTCCAGCATGTACTTCTGGGTGGGAAAGAGGTAATATTTTTCACAGCAAAAAAAAAGAAGAGGGAAGGGAGCATGTTTTCAACAGCAAACTGTGGCCATCAGACCTTTCCACTGACCTTTAATAAGTGACTTTTTATTTTGAAAATTAGGGTTCAATAAGGGTGGTGCAGAAATCACTTCTATCCACACTCCAGGGCCATGGTGCCCCAACCTCAGGAATCTCGGTTCTGGTGAGACCAGTGGCTCTGGAGACGCTCAGGAGACGCTCCAGTTGGAGCAGAGTTCCCGAAGGCCAGCGTGGCCCGAGAGTCACCCCGTCAACCAAGCACTGAGCAGCCAAAGCCTGTAAGCAGGACGGGGGAGGAGCCAACAAGCCAGCATCCTAGCGCTCGGGGCTCTGCGCCCCTGTGCTGTGTTCTGAGAGGAGGCTGCTCTCCCACCCCTTCCCAGAAAAACACACCCTACTGGGGTCCCAAGACCTCCCAGGGATCAGCAGAGGACTTCCCATTGAAAATAATGGAAATTCACATTGGTGCACTTTTGATCCTTAAAAGGCAAGTCTCTTGATCCTTGAAGATACTCTCTCAAGCCAGAAGGACGGATAGGGCGGGGAGGAGAGGTGTTTAAAAAGGAGGATGATCCATTTCATCGAGCCAAGAGGCTGGGCTAGTTGGAAAGTCGGGGTAGCCTACACTGCTTCCTGTGGAGATGTCAGAGGTCGGTCCCCCAGCCATGGCTCTCAGCGTCTGGCTTACTCCCTGCCCTGCATGCGCAATGATGCCCAAATTACTGTCCACCGTGTAATCCAGCCCATTGAGCAAAGGAGCGTGGGATGGCAGGGACGATATGGAGGATGGAGACTGGGGGATTCCATAGGGGCTCCCATCCCTCAAGTCCTGATAGGATTGTCCTGTCCCGTCCATGGAGAAGCTCCCATTCATTAACTGTCCGCCTGTAACGTCCCCCACGTTGCCATAAATCCTATTGGTGTGGCCAAGTTCTGAGAGTATTTGATCCTCTGTGGACAAAAGAACGGAGATTTATTGTCAGCCGCCAGGACTCCGCTGGTCCCCTGTTCTTCACAACCTAGGAACACACATGACCAGGAGAGAAGCCCACGTCTGAGCCAGACACCATGTCAGCCTGGCATCCAGAGACTGAGCCACGTCACGGGGAAAACAGAACGGACACCAGCCAACGCCCAGGTCCCAGAAGGCTAGACGGATGTTTGGTGAGCTTGTTGGTCCCCTGTGGCTCGTGTATGAAGAGAGCTACACTGAGGAATACGAACACCTGAGGTTTGGTGGGTCATAGGTTATCCACATCACAAATGGAATGGAAGAAACTATGCGCTAACAAGATCGAATCTGAAGGCCTTCAAGCTGAGAAAAGTGCTTGATTTAGTTGTTCAGGAGACCAGCAGGCCCATGTGGTCAGGGGAGCTGAGGACCGTGCTACAGCGACACGTGTGCAAAATCCTTCTGGTCTACCCGGGAAAGAGGTTCAGTGTTAAAGGACTGAGTCTCTCCATCTATTAATAAGTCTTCACTGGGGACAAAGTATTGACTTGATTAAAGCAAATGGACCTTCTTGTTTCTTGAAGAATTTCATTAAGGGAATCTAATGGAATCTTTGCCACCTGGAAGAATTCATCTCTCCAACAGAGGTGAGCAGTTTTAGTCTTAAGAAAAAGAAGATTATATAATTACCTGGAGAGACCAATGATGTGTCAACCTGGACCCTTGTGCACCCAACAGAAAGGAGCTACAAAATAAGACTAAACAATCCTGTATGTTCCAGACATTGATTTCAGCAGCTTAGAGGAGATAAGTGGCTTTCCACTCCCACCTCCCCAACCAGGAGACCTGGAAGTTGAGCATAAGACCCTTGAACCCTCCTCAGGGCCCCACGGGCAGGCCTCTGGGCTGAGCTCCGGCCCTCTCAGGACGCAGTGCTCCTGGCAGGCAGCTCGTGCCATCCGCTGTCCCCCAGGCCTCCTTTCTAATCCTGCCTGGGCCTGTGCATCAATTCCTAGCAAGGCCACCCCAGAATGGACCTCAACACCCATCTCTTCTGACAGCCTGCCCTAGACTACCCCCCATTCCACCGATAAAAATGAACAGAGGGAGGGGTGTCATGCCCTTAAAGGGGGCAGGAGATGAAGGCTCAGCTCCACTGTAAAATGGCCATTATTGGCCTTCTGTCTGTATGTCATCCCATGCCCAGGGCCCTCTGTGGATGCCACAGGCTCCCTAAGGGCACGGTCATGTCTTCCAAGTGTGAAAATGTGCTGAGCTTTCCCCAGACACATCCATAGCCAGTTGCGTTTGTGGATCCCCACAACAACACTGTGAGATGGGCCAGGCCAGCCTGTGGTTGGTCCCCATTTATAGATGGGGACACTGAGGTGCAAAGGAAGTGAATCAATCTGACAGCCACAACTGGAGACCAGACTTCTGACCCCCAGCTCAGGACTCTTCCCTGGCCCCCAACAACAGAAGACCTTCCACATTTGAGGACTCATGAGAACAGTTACAGCTATTCAGAAACAATCTAAGGATCCAAACCACGCAGCCGTGTGCAGTTTTGCTGATGCACAAATGTGAACGTAGCGCATGCTGCAAAGCATCTGTGCAGGGGACGGGATGATGTGAGCAGTGGCAGGGGCAGGACTTCAGAATGAGGCGAGTCCCCACCTCTCGTGCACTCACAGCACTGACTTCCCAGGGCAAAGGGCCTGCTGAACCCAACCTCCCCCAACCAGGAGAGGAGAGGGTGCACCCTAGGGGGTCATGGGAGGGAGGCCAGTGCCCCTGCCAAGGGGAGCAATGCAGGAGGGGGGCCCAGGGCACAGGCTGAGACACAGCCGTCCTTCAGTGCTGCGTGAAGGGGCTGGTGAGGGGGCCCCGCTCAGCAGGCAAGGAGGGGAGGCCTTGGGGCCCACGGGCCTGGGGAACCCAGATTCCATGTGTCTGCAGCGGAGCTCTGGTTTTCTCCGCCTTGCCCCCTGGGGAAGGGCCACTACCTTTCCCCCCACCCTTTACCGCAAGTCATAGGGAGGAGCCTGTGCTCAGGAGGGAGCTGGCAAGGCCTGGAGAAGGACGTCTCCAGTGGCAGGGACTACTGCTTCCCAGGGGCCTCTCCTACGGCCTCGGCCTCGGCCCTCCAGCCCTGCTCACCTCGGAAGCTCAGCTCACTGTCACTAACCCCACAGTCCTCCGCAGAGCTCTCCTTCTCCTGCTTGCTGCCTCCCCGGCTCCGCTTGACGCTCTTGTAGAACTGCCCCCAGCGGTGTCGCCCCGCGTCCTTCTTCAGCCGCTTCTCCTTGGCCCTTCTGTTCTGAAACCAAACCTGCCACACAAGCATGGGAGACATGCTCGGGGGGGACGTCCATCACGAGCCCAAAGCCCCCAGGGTCCCTGAGACAAGAGGCAAAGACTGAAGCCTCAGCAGATTTCAGGGCCAGGAGTGGGACGTGCCCACCACGCCCTCCGCTGGGGCCTCAGAAACCTGCCTCTGATTCAGCAAGTTTCACAGGGCCATGGCCCTGAGCCCAGCTTCCCTAGGGGATCAGTGACACCGCCAATGACAAGGTGCCATCGCTACTGCTCCCGAAGCTCCCCTCACATGGAGGGCACAGAGGCGGGGACCAGCAGGACCCCTTCCATCCCTGCCCCAGGCCCAGCCAGGTGGCGCTGGGCCCAGGACCGCCAGTCGGCAGAGGAGCCCTGGGGCCAGGGTGGCAGTTGTCTCACCTGTACCACCCTCATGTCCAGGCCTGTCTCCGAGGACAGCTGCTCCCTCACGTGCCGCGCGGGCTTGGGGGAGTTCTTGTAGGCGTTCTTCAGCGTCTCCAGTTGCTTCGCTGTGATGGTGGTCCGCGGCCGCTTAGCCCCGGCCTCTGAGTCATCTGCAATGAAAACCACTTCTTAGTGGGGCCAGCGCATCTGAAGCAGCTGGCTCTCGTGGCCCCTTCCTCCTCTCCTCACGTCATCTTGCCCGCCCTGGGCAACAGCAGGGAGAATGGGGAACATCAGAGGGGGATGGTCCCAGCCCCCCTGGAGCCCACTCCTGCACCGCAGGCCTTCCCGACTCCCTGCAAAGTGAAGGCAGGGTCCTCCTTCCCCAGCTCCCTGCCTCTCCCCAGCCCCTGCCAGCCCAGCCACACGGACTGGGGCTCTCCTCAGACTGAAGGTGTACAGTTCCGCACATTTCCCTGTCACTTCAAACACTCTGGTTGGCCAACCTCAAGACAGCAAAGGTGCAGGAGCCAGAAGGAAGCCCGTGTTCTGGGCTGCCCAGACACCTGCCCTCCTCCCATCCGGAGCCCCTGTTCCCCAAGGACCCACCCATGGTCTCGATGCCTTTCCACCTCCCTGGTGACCTGAGCGTTCACTGTCATCTAAGCCATGTTCATAAATTCTGCGTCAGAGCCCACTAGTGGGTTATAAAATCAACTTAGTCTATCAAAAACCGAAAAAGGAAATACGATGGATGGGATGGGGTGGGCAGGATGGGGCATGTAAGAGCAAGTGTTATTTCATAAAACTGAAACAGTGTGTTTGCTGTACGAATATGTGTGCTGAGTTGAAACATAAAATGAGTTTCGTATTGTGGATCATAGTCAAAAAGTTTTTCAAAAGCACTGGTCTAAAGAGTATTCAGGACAACATGCTGACTGACCAGCTGTCTGCAATGGATTTTGAGTCTCAAGTTCCTGTGAGTCAAACGCTGATTAGTCTCGGGCAGAGTTAGGCACAAAGAGGCACTGGGTGTGCTCAGCGGCACACAGCCAGGTGTAAACGGTTTGTTCTTCTCTCAGCACTTGGACTGACTTCCGCTCTCTGCCCAGCACCCCGGGGTCAAGGAGGAGTGAGTGGGCAGCTACGCCAGGCCCTCTGGGCTCTCTGTACCCCTCCCATGTGTGTCCTTTAAAGGGTCTCCACCCCATGGCTACCTCCCTTTCTTCCTTCCCGTCCCTTCAAGAAAACCCTCTCTTAGGAACAGCGATAATAGCCGATGTTTATGAAGCTCCTGCAACGTGCCTGGCGTTGATCTAAGAGCTTTATGTGTACACGATCCTCACAACAATTCTAAGAGGTTTTTTTTCTTGGAGTCTTGGGTTCTCCATTCTCATTGAGTGAGTAACGTGGGAAGGTCCCTAATTTCTCTGCAGCCTATGTGGGTGGCACATTGCAGGGATTAAGTCAGCGTGCAGCCCGAGCTGGCCCTACAACAGTCGTGCATGCAGCAGAGGGGGGACAAGGCCCCCAGTCCTCTCTCCTCCTGAGGCTGTTTCTTACCCAGCAGAGCCATTGTCATCATGGAAGCCCTGCCACCTGAGGCTCTCCCTGGAGCCCTGGGCCCACAGAGGAAGAATTCTGGAGCCACGGAGGCTGACACTAAGGAAAAACTCCAAAATTCTTTCAATTCCGTTGTAAGCATCCGCCTCCCTCTGGCCAAAGGCACAGAAGTAGCAGCATGACAGCACCTGCTGCAGTACGAAACAGCGCACTTTAAGTGTCTACAGTCTTCATATACAGAAATGGAAATAATGAAACCGCCAAAAAGTTTTTAATTCATTGAGAATTGCTTAATGTCAAAATAGGTTGGCCTAGTGAATTAGAAATGGTTCTCACCATGGCCAGATGGCAGTGCCACTGGGACCAACCCCCGTGGTCCCGGGTTGGTGGCCCCTGGGTTCCCCATGGCTGGCCACGTGCGCAGAACTTTCTTCCTGTGATTATGGGGACTATTATGCTGTTATTTTAACATTCATGGTTATTATAATTTAAAATCTTTTTTATATCCTATAACAATGTCATCCAAGTATTCATTAAGTAGCGGTGGCAGTGCTCGTGCTGAAAAATGTACCCAAAAATCAATAACTTTGGTACGGAAGTTGAATGTGATAAAACACTATGAGGAAGGCCAAGCAAGCCCATGATACCCGAGGCTGTTAATTTAGGAGAGAGCATCTGGGAGGGATGGAGAGAGTGCTGAGAAAATAAAAAGTAGCATTAAGGCAAAGACACACTTCGCTGGTTATGGATTTATGTGCGCCCAGGATACATCCCCCCCACTTTTTACATTAATTCCTATGGGGAAAATTAGTCCTAAAATATGTTACTTTTGAATTATGCAAGGTCTCCTAGCATGTGTCCCTGGCATAAAAGGCAACCTCATTGTATTGAAAATGCAAATATCCAGGAAGATGTAACAAATGAACAAAATCACTCACACCAAGATACAAATAGCTGATATTCGATCTTTTGTGTAGGCCTGAGAGAGGGTTTAGATTAGCAAGGAGGAATGAAAACATAAAAGAGAGAGCCCAAGGGCCCACAGCAGATCAAGGTGTCCTGATTCACTAAAGATCACCCAGATTTCACGGGATGGAGTGGCCCCCGTCTCGCTGACAGCGGAGGCAGGAGGAATGCACCAGAAACACTGTAATCTTTAGCTGCTGGAAAACCTAAAGCAGATCTCTCCCTCTGTTTGCATTTCTCTGACACGCTGGTCTCGCCCTCATTTAACGTCTTGTTCCACAAGTGTCAGCCTATTTCAACCTCAGGAAACAGCTCTGCGTGGCAGGTGCTCTTATCCCCCATACTGAGCTGAGAAGCCATGGCTCGAGCAGGCACACACCTTGCCAGGGGTCCCCCAGGTTAGCGCGTGGCCAGGCAGAGATGCCCGCCAGCCCCTGATGCCAAATCCAGTGTCTTCCCATGGTCCCACAGAGGTCTGCTGTGGCGCAAACAATGCTCCACAAAAGTGCTAGCTCCACTGGGCCCTTCCTGCCTCCCCAGCTGGTCTGCTCCGTCTCTCAAACCATACACAGCAGTGGATGCCAGGACGTGAGTCTAAACAAGGCCTCTGACAGCAAGAAGCAGCTGCCCGTCCTGGGGGAGGCCTGCATCCCCAGCGTCTCTGGTGAAGGCCGTGAGAGTTCCAGAGGCAGTGTGGGATCTCTGAGTCCCTCTGCGCTGCTGGTTTAGCCCTGACTAGATGCCCTAATCCTCTGTGACATCATAATTCTCTCCAAAGCAAGAGCACCAAGTGAGTTTTAAGGAACCAGAGCAGATTAATACGTTAAGGCAAAGAGCCTGGGACCAGGCTTGCAAGAACCTGGAAAGAGAAGAGACTGAAAGGCTGTCCATCCCCAAGGCCAGGGCTGTGGAGGTGGTGGGGGAAGAGAGGGAGCCCCCACGGTGCCCCACGGGGGAAGAGAGGTGGCTCACCAAAAGGGCTTCCTCACCACCACAAACCCTTTATTTTAACTGCATTTATTAAGCAAAAAACTAATTTCTCCCTGTACGGATCCCATCCATAGAATATATATGTGGGGACCCAGGAAAGATCTGGAAGGAGATACATGAAATTGCTGCTGCTTTTTTTTTTCCCATCAAGCCCAGAGCTGTCAACAAGAGCTTCCCACAGCAACACCCTGCGTTGATAAAAAAAACTCTAGTCAAAGGCAAACGACCTTGATGTTTCGTGAGTTTGTGCATCTGAGATGCCCAGGTTGAGTCTGGCCAAATGCCACACTGGGAGCCCGGGTCAGGGGCACCCCACCTGCCGGCACCGCCGAGAGTCAGGAGCCCGAGGTGGGGCTGCAGGATGTGGTGAGTCAGGCTTGGTCTTCCCGAGGGAGCCCCGGGGAGCTGGGGGCTGGTAAGAGGTCCAAGCCCCATCAGGGCCCTGGAAAGGCCCGAGAAAGACCCAGGGCTGCCCAAGAACACAGCCTTGGAGGGCAGGAGCAGCTGCTGCCCTGGCTGCCCCTCTGAAGGCAGGCTTTCCAGGGGTGGGGGCTAACTGCTGGGGCCTGACATCAGCCTTTGCTGTGAGCTTTGGTGCAGACCACCGACAGGGCCCTGAGGCAGCAGGGGAAGGGTGGCGGGGTGGGTGGGGGTAGGGGGTTGAGTTGGAGACTCCCTGAATGTAGAGACTGGCTGAGCATCTGCTCCCACGTGCGGGGCTTTGGGAGACACACAGTCATCACCCCGGAGTCCCTGCTCTCCAGAAGCCCGCAGTCAGAGAGGGGAAACAGAACACAATTAACTGAAATTCTAGCCGACCTGTTCCAAGGGTAACTTAGGCCAATGCGAGGGCTCTGGTTATCTGAAGCCTTTGAGGTGTTGGTGCTGAGACAATGTGCACCCCTATATACAAGGCTATAGATGGAGCACCTTTCAGCCCCACCCCAGGCAAGGAGCCACCGAGTTGATGAGCACAAGGTTCCCAGCTGCTCCTGAGCCAAAGTCCTGGCGTGGGATACAGGCAGGCTCTCAGTAATCATAACGTGACTGAGGCTTCAGTGGAGCAGCCAGTGCTAAGGGCTCGGGGGTGGGTGTCCACCCCCTGCAGGCCTCTGGGGAACGGTCCTCAGAGGAGGCAGGGTGTGAGTGCAGCTCTGAGGGGTGGGCAGCCTGGACTCAGGCCAGACAGAGGTCGGGCCGGCTCGGAGGTCGGGAGCAGGGACAGAGCAGGGCAGTGCTGATTACCATTCTGCTTGGCCGTCTCGTAGTCCTCCTTGCACACCAGCCGCCCGTCCTCCATGAGGTAGAACTCGTCCCCCGTGGCCAGCTGCCGGCTACAGATGATGCAGGCGAAGCAGTGCAGGTGGTAGACGAAGTCCTGCGCCTTGCGGACCACCTGGGTCGGGGGGATGCCCTGCTGGCAGGCTGTGCATTTTGTGCCGAAGCGCCTGTCAGGACAGCGGGAAAGGATTAGAGCTCAAGGAGAGGGGAGGTCTGCCCCCTCCCCACCCCACCACCCTGGACCACCCAGTGCTTACACCTCGTCCCCTTCGGCCTCCAACCAGCCTCATTGCTTCGTGCTCTCTGAATTGCCCGATTAACTCCCCCATCAATTCACCTGGGCAGGCGGCAGGAGTTTTTAAGTCCTGCTGAGCAGGCTGTTTCACCCTCTGCCTCCTGGTTTCAACTTTATGGTGAGGCCTAAAGGACCAGCCCCACAGAGCAACTGTATGTGCCCATACCCTGTGTGCATAAAGCATCAGAGGAAGTACCTTTTCACATGCCCCCTGCAGGAGGAGCCTGTGTGGCTGGGACACCGCACACACCAGGGCCCACACGGGAGCTCCGGAGAAATTGTACTTTGAGAGCAGAAGGGGGCTAACCCAACGGTTTCCCTGTCCTGTCTCTCCCTTCCGTCCAGCACTCACCAAAGCCCTCCAGCCTCCATCCTCTTCCCATGCACAGCCCCTGAGATGTGGGCCCAGGAAGCTGCATTTCGTGCCCCTGCACCATTCAGGGCAGGGAGTCTGCAGACCTCAGTCTGAAAAATGCTGCCTTAGACCTCCCCTTGTCTACACCTTTCTGGAGCACCACCAAGGCAAGAGGAAGACGCCACCATCCTGGCCCAAGGCTGGTCAGGGAAGAGAAGTAGAGCCATTGAAAATACAGTCCATTTGGGTCATTAAAGCCCGGTTCCCCGCTCTGGACGTGCACACAGAGCCACGCCAGCAGTCACAGAGGCCAGAGGGGAATTCGGGGCCAGTGCAGACACGGCGGTGAAGCGGGGTGCCCGGCTGCAGGTGAGCCTTCCCTGCTTCAGGAGGGAAGCGGGAGGGATTGGGGAGGAAGGGGCAGAGTTTAAAACAGCAATCAACCTAATTATTCATGACATTTCACACAGCAGAACTTTATCTTCTTCAGGATGAAAGACTTCGCCTAATGGATCTGGGGAAGGTTTGATTTTAATGGTCCTTTTAACTAATGCTTATAGGCAGCCTGATTTCCCCTGAAAGGACAGTACATATTTCATCCACATTAATACCAAATAAATTAATTATGGTCATGGCTATCATGATGAATCCCAGATTAATGCAGAATGATGGGTCTCTTGTGCAGTAATGATACCTGCTGGGGGCTGGCCGGGGCCCGGGTCGTAGGGACGACGGACGGGTCGGTCCGGACCGAGTCGTAGGGACCGGTCCCTACGACCCCCCGTCCCCCACCCGGTACCCCAAGGTACGTAGTT